AAACTGGCAACGTGTATATAATTGGTATGGCCTTATCTGTACATGCGGATGTTGTTTCACTGCTTCAAGATTTTTTCAGGGTTCCTAACGGTGGAGTTATTATCGATCCTCCTATAAAAGTCACTGGAAAAACTTGTAAGAGAATCTATTATAGCATGCTTCTTTTTATTGAATTTTTAATAATCCTAATAATCTTTTTATATAGTACACCACGCACCTGATGGAAGTGAGCTTCAAATTTATCCTGATGTTACCGTATTCCCGAATATAGCATTTGTTCCGAGGCCTTCCGCTTCTACTATAACACCTCGTCCTCCCAGCGATGTAAACGTGAGTTGAGTTGGATGCATATGATTGTAATTTGCTTTTATGTGAATTTCATTAATGTGCCTCATATAGGGAAATCCCCATGCACGAATTATCTGTTAGCCAAAGTATTGGTTATTTGAAACAGAAGTGCTTGACTTGGATGTAAGAACAATATGTCCGTGCTGTCATTGGTGTCAAGATTTTAGATCCAAGAAAAAATATTCGAGAACCTGGAACTGGATATTTCTATAGAACAATGACGGTATATCTTGTTTGTTACTCAACGATATCAAGTTAAGCAATGTACAGTATCTGGTTAGCTATTTTTTTTAAAATATTAGGCTAAACTTTACCGTCAAGGAATGGCAGTACAACGGTGGGACTTTGGGAATGCTAAAAAAAATTCAAGGGATCCTGTCAACGATCCTGCGATTGCAACGCGACAAACTTGCCAGCTTTTCAGATTATAATTCCCATAAGTAAAGTATTTTGGGATCCATCGTTTCCTATCCCAGCTGCGTATGTTCCAGTACTCCCAGCAAACATAATTGGTAGTAATTTTATTATTGACTTGTACTGGATCCAGCAAATTGCTTTAAAAGCCGAGGTGTAGCGAGTCAAACAGCTGTTCAAGAAAACGTAGTGTGTACTTCTATAAAAATTATACACATAATTCAGTATAGACGATTCACGCAACAGTCGCATGTATAAAAACAACTTCGAGACCATGGCCACTTAAAATGGAAGATTCGGATAATTGTCTTTACTTTGATAAGGCATCTAAACTAGATATTGCTGGATAGAAAGTTAACAATCGCATGTAGATGATAATAAGTAAAATTAGCATCATTAATAAATCAGCCAGTTACCGAAAGTCTAATTCTTTATTTATTCCTACCCACCAAATACTTCATTGCTAAATACCAAGTTCTTTGATATCTTTAGGGCAAATCAGAATATCAAATTAATGATATTCATTTTTTGAGTACATAATCGACCTCGACTCCGATAGTTCCATTATCCGCTTTACTATTTTTACAGTTCCTTTCAAAACATCCAATATTATCGATGATTCCATCATTTTGCAAATGCTTTATATTAGAAGCTTCTTTCGAAGAAGTTCAGTAAATATGGCAACTTTGTAATATTTTTAAGTTGCATTCCGAAAGTTGAGATACAGTATGAAGAGATTTTTTTTAGAATTACTGCTATTGGAAATAGCTATTGTACGATTGCTTCTATTTGGATTTACAGTAATTATTTTATACATTTGTTTACGTGTAAGTTTGGGTTCAATATTATTTATTGTTTCTTGAGACAAATCTCAATCAATAAAAGGACGGAGAGGGCCACCCCCATCGGTATGAATGACCATCAGACCTATTTCACATTCTGCCCGCCAAGAAGTTCTCTTAGTCTCCCACTATCGTCACGAATTTTGTACATACAGTGCATTATTTAATTACAATAAAACAAAAGAATTAACAAGATAAATGATAAATGATAAGTACTAAATAAACAAATAGACTATATAGACTATACAAATCAATTAAACTAAATAAACAAGATAAGTGAATAACTAAATAAACTTTACTATGTATGCTATTCAATTAATTATACAGTATACAGTATTGATATTCCGTTAATTTCCAGAATTTCGGAATTTATCGTCGCGTCACACTTTTCCTTTTATAACATACATACTTGCATTCTTTAACGTTGGTTATAGAATTATTCCGAAGAAAACTCCAAAAGCGCGCTATTATTTATATTTAAGTCAAATTGCTGACTGTCTATATTATACAAGCAGTGTTAATTTATTATCGATCAAAATAAATAAATAAAGCAATATACAGTATATATATTTACCATAGCAATATGTTTTAATGTGAGGTATGAATTCGCTTGTGTAGCTGGGTTTAGTGTATGTTTGTACTCGCGAATTTTCCCTAATTTTCGACATTTCATCAAACTTAATTAATTCCGCTGAAATTTTTGAATCATTTTGCCATTCTGTAAAAGTTTTGCAAATTTCTTCGGCAAGCGGTCGATTATTCAAATTTCCATCCCAGCATCTTTTCATAAGATCGACGTAGCATTGTGGTGTGCCTTCAATAATCGTTGGTCGAGTGCCATCGATTACTTGAAATTGAAATTGGGCTTTGGATTCTTGGCTAAAAGAAACGGCTATTCCAGAAGAAACTTCCCACATAATTATGCCGAATGAGTAAATATCTGAAGCTAAGGTATATGGTTT